ACTAAAGTAATAACTAGCAGTCAGCACGGGTTTGTTAAGAACAGATCATGCCTAACCAATCTTATTTCATTTTTCAACATAGTGACTAAACTAGTAGACCAGCAAAATACTGTGGACATAATATACACTGCTCAAAAAAATAAAGGGAACACAAAAATAAGACATCCTAGATGTGAAAGAATGAAATATTCTTATTAAATACTTTGTTCATTACATAGTTGAATGTGCTGACAACAAAATCACACAAAAAATATCAATGGAAATCAAATTTAGCAACCCATGGAGGTCTGGATTTGGAGTTACACTCAAAATTAAAGTGGAAAAAAACACTACAGGCTGATCCAACTTTGTTGTAATGTCCTTAAAACAAGTCAAAATGAGGCTCAGTAGTGTGTGGCCTCCACGTGCCTGTATGACCTCCCTACAACGCCTGGGCATGCTCCTAATGAGGTGGCGGATGGTCTCCTGAGGGATCTCCTCCCACACCTGGACTAAAGCATCCCCCAACTCCTGGACAGTCTGTGGTGCAATGTGGCGTTGGTGGATGGAGCGAGACATGATGTCCCAGATGTGCTCAATTGGATTCAGGTCTGGGGAACGGGCAGGCCAGTCCATAGCATCAATGCCTTCGTCTTGCAGGAACTGCTGACACACTCCAGCCACATGAGGTCTAGCATTGTCGTGTATTAAAAGGAACCCAGGGCCAACCGCACCAGCATATGGTCTCACAAGGGTCTGAGGATCTCATCTCGGTACCTAATTGCAGTCAGGCTACCTCTGGCGAGCACATGGAGGGCTGTGCGGCCCCCTAAAGAAATGCCACCCCACACCATTACTGACCCACTGCCAAACTGGTCATGCTGGAGGATGTTGCAGGCAGCAGAACGTTCTCCACGGCGTCTCCAGACCCTGTCACGTCTGTCACATGTGCTCAGTGTGAACCTGCTTTCATCTGTGAAGAGCACAGGGCGCCCGTGGCGAATTTGCCAATCTTGGTGTTCTCTGGCAAATGCCAAACGTCTTGCACGGTGTTGGGCTGTAAGCACAACCCCCACTGTGGATGTCAAGCCCTCATACCACCCTCATGGAGTCTGTTTCTGACCGTTTGAGCAGCCGCATGCACATTTGTGGCCCGCTGGACGTCATTTTGCAGGGGTCTGGCAGTGCTCCTCCTGTCCCTCCTTGCACAAAGGCGGAAATAGTGGTCCTGATGCTGGGTTGTTGTCCTCCTATGGCCTCCTCCATGTCTCCTGATGTACTGGCCTGTCTCCTGGTAGCGCCTCCATGCTCTGGACACTACGCTGACAGACACAGAAAACCTTCTTGCCACAGCTCGCATTGATGTGCCATCCTGGATGAGCTACACTACCTGAGCCACTTGTGTGGGTTGTAGACTCTGTCTCATGCTACCACTATAGTGAAAGCACTGCCAGCATTCAAAAGTGACCAAACCATCAGCCAGAAAGCATAGGAACTGAGAAGTGGTCTGTGGTCACCACCTGCAAAACCACTCCTTTATTGGGGATGTCTTGCTAACTGTCTATGCTTTCCACCTGTTGTCTATTCCATTTGCAAAAGAGCATGTAAAATTGATTGTCAATCAGTGTTGCTACCTAAGTGGACAGTTTGATTTCACAGAAGTGTGATTGACTTGGAGTTACATTGTGTTGTTTAAGTGTTCCCTTTATTTTTTTGAGCAGTGTATTTAGATTTCAGCAAGGCATTCAACAAAGTAGACCACAACCTGCTTCTTAGTAAGCTAGAAAAAAGCAGAATAGATAGCACCACCACTAGATGGACTCACAACTGGCTGACAAACCGTACTCAATGAGTAGTCCTTAATGGCTCAAAGTCTACATGGAGGGAAGTAAGCAGTGGGGTGCCACAAGGTTCCATCTCAGGCCCTGTACTCTTCAATATCTTCATTAACGACTTAGATGAGGGAACTTACCAAATTTGCAGATGATACTAAGCTGGCAGGAATAGCTAACACCCAAGAAGATAAGCTCAAGATCCAAATGGATCTTGACAGATTAGAACACTGAGCCGTATCTAACAAAATGAAATTCAATGTAGAGAAAAGTAAAGTCCTACACTTAGGCAAGAAAAACCAAAAGTACACATACAGACTGGGTGAAACCAGGCTCAATAGCAGTAACTGTGAGAGGGATCTTGGAGTCTTAGTGGACAACCAGTTAAATATGAGCCAGCAGTGTGCAGCAGCAGCCAAAAAAGCTAATGCAATCCTAAATTGTATTAACGGAGAGATACAACCAAGATCAAGGGAAGTACTAATTCTACTCTATAAAGCCTTAGTAAGACCACACCTAGAGTACTGCATCCAATTTTGTTCACCATATTATAAAAAAGATGTTGAGACTCTAGAAAAAGTACAGAGAAGAGCAACCAGGATGATTAGGGGACTGGAGACTAAAACATACGAAGAACGGTTACAGGAACTGGGTTTGGCTAGTCTAGTAAAGAGAAGGACCAGGGGAGACATGATTGCAGTCTTCCAATATTTGAGGGGCTGCCACAGAGGAAGGGATCAAGCTATTTTCTAAAGCACCTGTAGGCCAGACAAGGAATAATGGATGGAAACTGAACTAGGAGAGATTTAACCTGGAAATAAGGAGAAACTTTCTGACAGTGAGAACAATCAACCAATGGAACAGCTTGCCCTCAGAAGTTGTGGGAGCGCCATCACTTGAGACTTTCAAGAAGAGATTGGACTGTCATTTGTCAGAAATGGTGTATGGTCTCTCACTTGGGTGGAGGGGTTGGACTAGATGACCTACAAGTTCCCTTCCAACTCTGATTATCTGTTATCTGTTATTTATTTGTTTCTAGATGTTTACCTATCTGTTTTTGATTATTTTTTCAAGTATCTTCTCAGGTATTGATGTCAGGCTGATTAGTCTGTAGTTTCCTGGATCTGATTTCCCCCCCCCCCCCTTTTTTTGAAGATGGGAACCACATCTGCTCTTTTCCAACGCTCAGTTTCCAAATGGTCCATGATTTTTTAAAAATATGGTACAATGGTTCTGAGGTAACATCTGCCAGCTCCTTCAGAATTCTGCGATGTAATCCATCAGGTCCTGGTGATTTATATATCAAGATCAGACAGGGGTTCTCTTATCATTCTCTTGCTTATTTTAATTTTTATTTCTAGTCTGTCTTTTACAATTATGTTTTTGATAGGTTGGACTATAGTTTCTTTTTGCATGAAGACTGATGCAAAGAATGAGTTAAGCAGCTCTCTACTGTCTGTTACCTTCCTGCTATCTTTTCTCTTTAGTGGACCAACTGTTTCCTTGACTTTTTTCTTGTCATTAATAAGTTGAAAGAAGCTTTTTTTATTATCTTTGACTTTTGTTGCAAGTCTTTGTTCATTCTGAGCCTTTGCTTTCCTGACTTCATTTGCAGATTTGGGCTATTGGCTGATAGTCTGCTTTAGTTATGTGTCCCTCTTTCCATTTTTTGTACTTATCCTTTTTTTCTTTAATAAAAGAAAAAAGGTCCTTGGAAGTTTTTTAATTCAACCCTTGTTGAAGAATGTGACCCTTTATCATTCTGGACAAATGGCTACCCAATCTCTTCTTAAAAATCTCCAGTGAGGGAGCACCCACAACTTCTAGAGGCCAGCCATTCCACTAATTAAGTTTTCTCATTGTCGGGAAATTTCTCCTTAGTTATAGGTCAGATCTCTCTTTTATAAGTTTCCACCCATTACTTCTTCTCCTGCCCTCAAGTGTTTTGTAGAATAGATCTTAATTAATTTTGGTAGAAGATCTTTGTGATCCGAGCTACAATCAGCAGAGGTCTTACTGATTTAATCAATCTCCATCTTTTTTGCAAAATATATAGTCAATTTGATTTTGGTATTATCCATTCAGTGTTCAACTATAAAGTAATCTTTTAAGTTTTGGAAAGAAGACATTTACCATAAACTCAGAGCGATCTCAGCAGACCACTACTAGTCTGTCTCTAGATTCTTTTTATACGTCATTTCCCCCCATTATTCCACATGCTGTTTCACTTCAAACTTGTATTTAACATGGCATTTGTTCTTGATGTGTCAATAAAATGCTGCAAGTCATCATAGAAGTGTTCAAATTTCATTTCTTGTGCATCTGTAGTTTAGAGCATTGAATGGATTGTCATGTTATTTGGCTTGACTTGGACTTGAATTGAGTTCATTCTATCATTTTGGGGGTTCATCCAATCAATGACTTTGACACTCTTTTGTTAATAATAATAGTTACTCAACTTTTTCTATTATTTGCTTGTCTGCAGTAGATCCAATATTCCTCTCATGTGAAGCAACTTATTTCAGTCCGTCTCAGTTTGCTGGTTCTCAGAAAGTCAATGTTCAGTCTTACATTTCTATTCTAACAAATGTCTATCATAGTTCATAGTTCTATCATATCATATTTGCACATATCTTTTGCCTCTCACACATCAGAAGCTGAAGTCTCACACATCAGGAGCTGAATATCATAAATATCAACGCTACTTATACTTTTGGGCGATTGAATTGATCGCTCTATGAATTGGAAGTCATGGTGTAGAAAGAAAATGCATATAGATTATATCATGTTAAAAAGAATGGACTATTGATTTATGCAACATGATTGTTAAACGTGATCCTTAAAGCCAATCACATTCTATGTGCATCATAAATTTGCTGTAATAATCTAGAACTCATCCAAAATTAAGCAACACTAAGTAAGCTATTCTCCATTATAATAGAACAATTTTAAGGTTCTTAACTGATAGTCTCAATTTTTCCAGTGACTTGTGCATTATATAGGGTTGCCAAACCAATATAGGAAGAAGTTATATAAATGGTATTTTATATTAATGCTTTGCAGCCTCCAGAAAATTCTTACAAATCAACTTCCATAAAAATGTCAATTGTTCCTTAAATGTTTAAACTGTTTTAAAATATATGCTTTATTCTATTTGCTGAAGTATTACTTGCATTTATCCATTTACAGACATACTATTTTGGAAGATGGAACTCTAAAAATTGCCAATGTTACCAAAGCAGATGCTGGGAGTTATACATGTATAGCAACAAATCATTTTGGCATAGCCAGCAGCACTGGGAACCTGATAGTAAAAGGTAAGATGTTACCTTCACCAGATAGTTCCTTAGGCTGAGTTCCAGTAAGATATCTGTCAATTTGTACTTCTTGGAAAGTTTGTAAAAATGATTAAATTTGCATGTAGATTTCTGAAAAGCTACTTTTCTGAAATATATATGAAAACAGAGAGAAAGATAAAGAGAGAGAGAGAGTATATATATACAGATATGAATTAAGTACTTCAAAAATATAATTGCCATATTTGTTATTTTATTTTTTAGAGGAAAATCCTTACACTCACAATTATTTTTCTTCATGCTAATTATTCTTCCTCAGGTTTCATACCAGGTGAGAAATTCCTTTCTCATCTACACAAAAATAGTGTTAATAAAAAAAAGACTCACTGAAAATAATAAAGTGAATGCCATATTCACACATATACTTCAAGGTTTGTAAAACTCTTAAACTAGATGCATTGTTTTTGTTTCAAAAACATTTGCTTTTGCATCTCTTTTGTTCAGAAAATGTGCCTTATTATGATAATAGTGCAGGTGTTTGTGTCAGAAAACCACAGACCACTCGGCAGAGTAAGCAGAAAAGTGAACAAAACAGCACTGCGAAGGAAATAATACAAAATTCTTACTAAAGATGATCCTCTGTAACAGATTGGGAGCAAGACTAAAAAAAGATTGGCTGCAATTAAATACACCACACTATTCCAGAATGTAAAGCCACCCAAATGTTAATAGCTTTGGATTCCTTTTATCAATACAATTTTATATTAGTTTTATTTCTTTATCTTCTGAAGAATGTGTGGTGTTGCCTATGCAATATTTGAAACCTCCTTTGAGTGTTCTCTCTTCATCAAGCTAATTTTTTGTTCCATGTGTTTGTTCTTTTTTTAAACTAGCATATACATTTTTCAATTGGTTTTGCATTTTATTGCCCGTTTTAATCCCACGAGCAAATAATGGTTTTTCTGCAGAACCCCAATAGTCTCCCATTCAGCAGTTATCTTACAGGGCAAGCTCTGCTTAGTTTCAACAACCCAACTCTCATCATGTGTCTGTAATCTCTAGGCACATATATGCTTGGGTAGCATTTTATAGACAAACATATAAAACTTCCTTTATGAGAGAAGCTAACCAAGAACTGCATGTGGTTTAATCAGTTTCACCAATTCATTGATTTTTATGGAACTAGAGAGAACAGCTGCAATAAGGAAAACCAAGTGAACATATTTTGTTTTACTTCCTCTTCCTGCTGTGAGGTTTCCCCATTCCTTCCGTGCTCCATTACATTGATGCATTTATCAAGCTATTGATGCTATAACAGAAATGCTGCTATTGTGTTCACAAAGAGAATGTTGCTTGTGTATGCTCCCAAATAATTTCCTGTAAGCAATAAAGCCTGCAAGTTTGTACACAGTTAAACTGATTTAGGATGATGGTGTTCAAGGAGGCAAAAGTGTGGTCCTTTTTTAATAACTATTAAATAAGCACTAAAAATGGGTTATTAGGGCTTTATAATAGTGATAGAAGTAGTGAGTCTTTAATCAAGCAAAAAATCATAGTTTCAATTTGTGATCTATTATATTCTGCTGAACAACATTGCTGGTTGTTTGATTATTTTAGCCCTTAACTTTATTAATTTAAGAGAATCCACCCCACAAAAATAAGTGCTTCAACTGATGTAAGTTTTTTAAAGAAAATCCTTCAAAAATACATAAATGTAATCTATCTTGTTGAGATAAAATTAGTACATATTATATTTTCCTTGCAATAATAGTCCTATTTTTTCTCCAAGATATAACCAATGCATAATTGTAACACTATAGCCAATATTCTTCTTTTAACGTACCTCAAGGCTCCATAATTTATATATAAAAACGCTCTTTTACCAAATTAAATGGAATAGTAAAATGTCAGTTGTAGCATTTCTAATTGAGCAGATGTGCTGATACTGACAAATGTTTTAAATTAAATTATACACTTTTGATGAGTAGTCTTGCATCTGATATAGTAAGTCTTTATAAATCTGATAAACACTTTCATCTCCCTCTTCTTGAGGAAGGGAGCAGGAGTGGAAAAAAACATGTATTGGAAAACAGATTAAAATGTATTGATGTACTGCTTTGTAATTAATCATAGTTTTATAACCCAGTCAGTTTAATTCTGCCAGACTGAAGTGAAAGGGGCCCCATTTTGTTTTCTTGGCTATATATCTATTTTTCAGTGTATATTGCACTATTAAAGGCATACTAACTTTGGTCAAACCTGAAAACTCTACATGTACAGTCATGATGCATTAGAAAATATATATATAATAAATCACAATTGTATAACTGTAAAATTTGGGAAATGAATTTATTTTTGAAATAATGACAATGCTTTTAAATAATAGCAGGAATAATATCAGCAACAACAATCAGCACTTTTCACTGATACAGCAGCTCACTTGTGATACATTTAATTTGTTTAATTTTCAGTTTTTCTTGTCTTATCTTTGCATTTTTCCTCTAGTATTCATAGATGTGCATTATAGAAATAAGCACTATGTATATTGACTCTTGCTCACATATATAGCATGAATTATTGGCAGACAGGGAGTTTTTATACTTAGAATCATTAAATGGACATTTCAGTGTCTGCTGACTTATATAGAATGACTTTTTCCTACAAAGTATAGGTGCTTAACTGATGTTTTGTTAACATAGCTTAAGAATTCCTTCACTTTGTCATAAGTTGAAAGTGATTGATTCTGACTCAATTCTATTATTGGTTGCTTACGTGCCATCAGATTGGTGTCAACTCTTAGATACGACATAGGTAGATTTTCACAATAACTTCCAAGTTTTCCAATGGTGCACAATCAATTCTGTAATTGAACTGATCCACTTTTGCCAGCATTAGAGAGAGCCAAAACTTTGCATAATGTGTCCAAACTCAAGGCCTGCAGGCTGAATCTGGCCCACAGGGTACTTAAATACAGCCCGTGGAACTGGCCTGGAAATATCAAAAGACTGTCCCATGATACTGTCACCAGCTACTGGTGGCTAAAATGAGCGGCCCCTGTGCATCTCATTTTCACTGTCCATGGCCTCTTGAAGCACTCTGCTGGCCAAAAACAGCCCAAAAATGGGCTGAAAAGGGGGCCGAAAATAGACCTGAAAATGGGCAAAAAATGGCCCCAAATGGGCAGGAAAACAGCCTATAAATGGGCCGAAAACATGCTGGAAAATGGCCTGGAAAACAGCCCCCAAAACAGGCCTAAAAGGCCTGAAAATGGGCTGAAAAACGGGCCAGAAATGGGTTGAAAAACAGCCTTGAAAACGGCCAGCAGAGTGCTACAGGAGTCCATGGAGAGTGAAAACTAGGTGCAAGGGGCCATGTGCAGACCCTCTGCACCCTGTTTTGGCCAGCAGGGTGCTGCAGGAGGCAATCACCCCTCCCTACCTCCCCACTGGCCTGCAGAGGAGAACTACATTGCTAATGTGGCCCTCAAAGAAACCTAGTTTGACACCCCTGTTCTAGTCTATTGAGGGTATTCTCAGACATTTTCTTTAACAACAACTTTCAAAAGCATCAATATTCTATCCAACTTCTTGAAGGTCAAACTTTGACTTCCATAATGTCATGTGCACATTGGTTACATTATTCTGATCTTTGTAGGTATAAATGCATCATGGCATCTGTATATATCTTTTCTATGGACATATTGAGATGTGCTAGTCTGTGGTGTATTTCTTGACTGCTTGTTTCTGTAGTGTTGATGGTAGATCCTAAAAGACAAAATCTTTAGCATCTTCATTGCCGGATCTATTACTGGTTGTTCTACTTGTTATCATTAGTTTAGTCTTTATTTTTAATTTATATCCACTTTTTCATTGTGATCCTTGACTTTTATTACTTGAGCTTGCAGGTCTTTTGCACTTTCAGCTATCAAAGCACCATTACCATTGATGGGAGCAATATGCTGCATGGAGCAGAGAATACACCAGAAGGCAAAAAGCCTGGACATTGACTCTAATCCAAATTATTTACATCTATCCCATAATATGGCCTATACAATGAAAAAAACTCTTCGGAAGTCTAAACAAACCATAAAAGTACTTTCATTTTATGCTGATATTAGTGAGTATCTATGTCCAGAACAAACATAAGCATATCCACAGATATTCATCACACTATTCTTTCTAAAGCAATATTACACACGGTACAGAATGGGAATAAGAAATAATAAGCTAAAGAAATCAAAGATAGAAAAATAAAAGGGAAATATGGCTACATCTAGGTTATAAAAAACATTCATTCATTATACCTTTCCATAACTCTGCTGTCCATTATGGGTTTTTACCCTTTGTACAAGAGAAATTAAGCACGTTAGTGAAAAGTTTAAAATCCTTCATACTAGAATTTTGCCGCTAATGCTTTACAAATAAATATGTATTTTTATTTATTTATTTTTCTTCAGGGCTAGTACAGGGTCTGATTCATGGAATTTGCAAGTTAAAATGTTTTAGTGAAAGAAATATTCTAGGATTGAAAAGGAAGTTAAATTCTCTTTCTGCATCTTTATCCTTCTGAGTCTTATAGCAACAATAACAAGAGTGCCATAATGCTAGTGTTTATTTAGCAAAATAAGCAATGCAGCTACTTCGTTTCCTTTCTTCTTCATATGAGTGATATCTTAAAAATTCCATGTGTTATTCTGTTCCAGATAATAGTCACTTCAAAAATAGCTTTGAAGCAAGTACTGAAATTCCCTGGGATATTTTCTACAGTCTTAACGGAACTTATTTTAATACAATTGTCTGAGTCAAAAAATGTATTTTCCATTTGTATTTATTACAAAGTAAAATAGACAAAACTGTATCAATAGACCCCAATAGTAGTTTTTCATGACATTTATTTTTCTTCAACGCAATAAAATGCACTAGATTTCTATATCAAGACTACTAAATAAATGTTTAAAAAAATGTCTGAATGACACAAAAGTAAGCTAAACAAACAGCTGAAGTAGCTTCATCATGAATTCT